AGAGGGGGGGGAAGAGGAACAACTGTGTAATCTGAACAAAAAAGATTTTTATAAAAAGGGAAAAATCGAGAAAAAAAACTTTTAAAAATTTACATAAAATGAACAATTTCCCAGAAAAAATATAATTCACTCAGATTCAAGAAAAAAATAAGCCCTGATCGGTTTGGCTCATGATAGAGCGCGGGGGGGGGTAAGGGCAGAGTGTGGGGTTGGAATCGGGTGGAGGGGAGCTATAGGGGGGGGAAGAGGAACAACTGTGTAATCTGAACAATAAAGATTTTTTTAAAAAGGGAAAAATCGAGAAAAAAAACTTTTAAAAATTTACATAAAATGAACAATTTCCCAGAAAAAATATAATTCACTCAGATTCAAGAAAAAAATAAGCCCTGATCGGTTTGGCTCAGTTGATAGAGCGTTGTCCTGGGGACTGAAGGGTCCCGGGTTGGATTCCAGTCAAGGGCATGTACCTTGGTTGCAGGCACATCCCCAGTAGGGGGTGTGCAGGAGGCAGCTAATCGATGTTTCTCTCTCATCGATGTTTCTGGCTCTCTATCCCTCTCTCTTCCTCTCTGTAAAAAATCAATAAAATATATATTTAAAAAAAAAAGAAAACCCTGAATATTCCCCCCAAAAAAGATATGTTTAACCCCTAACTCCCAGTGCCTCAGAGTATGACCTTATTTGGAAAATTGGTCTTTAAGGATGTAATTACTTAAGATGAGGTCATATAGGAGTAGGGTGGGTCCCTACTCCAATATGACTGGTGTCCTTACAAGAAAACAGCCACGTGAAGACACAGAGACACAGGGGGAGAAGGCCACATGAAGGTGGAGGCAGAGATTTGAGCGATGCAGTACAAGTCAAGAAAAAAGGGGATCTCAGCCATCACCAGAAGCCTGGAGTGAGGCATGGAACAAATTCTTCCTCAGAGCCACCAGGAGGAACCAACCCTGCTGACACCTTGATTTCAGGCTTCTGATCTCCACAGCTGTGAGAGAATACATTTCTGTAGATTCAAACTGCCCAGATTATAGTTCTTTGTTATGGCAGCCCTAGGAAACAAACAACCAATAACTACTGCAGTGATTGAAATGATAGTTTAAAATCTGCATGTGCTGAACTACCCCCCACCCCCCCCACACACACACACAGACATACATACACACGCACACAGAGTGATCCCTTTCAGCCTCCTCATCATATGGACAAGTAATCTGAGGCCCTTAGAGACTTCCCGTACAGATTGCCTAGCAGGTTGATGGCAATGATAGACCCGGTAGTGATGGGCCGGATAGTCCCGAGCACTCTGGTGACAACTCTGTACTCTAAATTGGGACAATAAACCCCTGGACACTTTTCATGGGCTTGTTTTTTCTTTCCAGGTGTTCGAAGATGTTGTAAAAGTAATTCTCTACCCCAATGAGAATATCTTCCGAATTCTCTTTTCTGATCAATCAGGCCAGATATAGTATCCACTGGAGCACAAGGACACCTATATTGACATATATGGCACCTAAAAAGTCTAGAATTTGGGCTGGGACATGGTTTTACCAAGGCCTGCACTCTCTGCAGGGCTCTGCAAGGGGATCCCAAGGGACTGCTTATGCCTTAACCATCTTCCAGTTACCCATCGGGAAACCTGGCTGTGCTCTCCTTCTGTACGCAAGAGAGCCAGTTCACATATATCATTTTGGAAGACTGTGAAGAAGGGTGTGTTCGAGCCCTTATCAACAACAATGGCCATGCCACCATCTATGATGAATACAGAGAAATCTGGTAAGTTTAGGTCATGAGTCCCAAACACTTATCCGCATGAAGAAGCAGTGTGGTTAAGGCTTGACTCACTCATTTCTCTCTGTCTCTGTTTCTCTCTGTCTCTCTCTGTCTCTCTCTCTCTTTCTCCTGCTCTCATTCTTACCCTCTCTCCCTCTCTCCCTCTTACTTTTGCTTGTGAATTCATTCATTGCACTCACACATGTTGGAATGGGGAAATGGGTACCATGATGGACCAGTAATACAGGTCCCTGACCTCAGACAAGGCCATTGTCCTTGTCCCACCAATGCTTTCCCCATGAGTGAAATAGCAGTCACAGACTTGGGGCAACCACTTCTATTGCTTCATGTCCTTTACTCCCCTTGACAGTCAAACCTCATGAGAATTATCTTAGAAAGACCCAGGACCCCTCTATTCTGGGGGCCTCAAAGAGGAGGGTGTGGTGAGAGCTCTGGAAACCCATGTATTATATTCAAAAATATAACTTCTAAATATTTCATTGTAACTGAACTTAGTTCTTAAGTTCCCTTTCTGGTAATGGTGGAAAACTTCACCTTACCAATTCAAGGTGGTTTAGTCACTTCAAAATTTTTGCCCATCTCTTTGGGGTATGGACTGTCTTTTCAGGCTTCCTGTTCCTGCTGCGTTCTAAGTGGGCATGTAGTGGGAAGTGCATATTATCTTGGATCAGTGTTATATTTTCTTTCTTTCTTTTTGTTGTTGTTGTTGTTGTTATTTTGTTATCTTCATCCAAAGAGATTTTTCCTTTTTTTTTTTTTTTTTCTTAGAGAAAGTGGAAGGGAGAGGGAGAGACAGAAAGAAACATTGATGTGAGAGAGAGACATTGATTGCCTCCTGCATGCACCCAACCAGGGCTCAGGAACCTGCAACCAAGGTAGGTGCCCTTGACTGGAATTGAACCAAGCACCCTTCAGTCCACAGCTTGATCCTATATCTACTAAGCCAAACCAGCTAGGGCTTACACTTTCTTTCTTTCTTATTGATATTAACTTTTTTCTTATTAATTCTGCCCCCCCCTCCAGCCCTGCCCCCAGCCAAAAAAAAAAGACACAAGGATTTTCATATTCCAAGCCTTGGTTTTTAAGAATATTTTCTCCGTAAGGGTTTTTTCGACATTAGCTGTCTACTTTGTTCTCAGAGGTGTCTGCCCTCCCTGAAGGTCCCTTAGTATAAAAATGATATCTGAAAGGTGGAAGAAGGTACTAGATACAAGAACCACCAAGTAGTGGGGGCAAGAAACTTGGTTAAATTATCCCAAATGGCATCTGGCTGCATATAGGTGGGCCTCTTCTCTCTAATGACACTTATTTTTAGGGACAAAAGAGACTTTGGGGGAGTCTACTTTCATTTTCTTAATGAGAAAACAGCCTCAGGGAAGCTAATAAGTCACTTGCCCTAAACCATACATAAAATTATAGGCAAGAAATTTTATGGCATTTTGACTCAGCCTGAAATTAAGCATTTTTTTAAATTATCAAATAAGGTTTGCAAGAGAACCTACATCTTTTTTTTAATTTTATTTTTTATTACAAAGGGTATTACATATGTGTCCATTTTTCCCCCCACCCAAGACAGTCCCCTAGCCTCCCCTATCCCCCAGTGTCTTATGTCCATTGGTTATGCTTATATGCATGCATACAAGTCCTTTGGTTGATCTCTTACCCCCTTATCTCCTGCCCCCGAACCCTCCCCGGCCTTCCCGCTGCAGTTTGACACTCTGTTTGAGGCAGCTCTGCCTCTGTATCTATTATTGTTCAAAAGTTTATAATGGTCTCAATTATCCATGAATAAGTGAGATCATGTGGTATTTTTCTTTCATTGACTGGCTTATTTCACTCAGCATAATGCTCTCCAGTTCCATCCATGCTGTTGCAAATGGTAAGAATTCCTTCTTTTTTACAGCAGCATAGTATTCCATTGTGTAGATGTTCCACAGTTTTTTAATCTACTCATCTGCTGATGGGCACTTGGGCTGTTTCCAAATCTTAGCTATGGTTAATTGTGCTGCTATGAACATAGGGGTGCATATATCCTTTCTGATTGGTAGATCTCCCCTCCACCCAGTTCCCCCACTGCCCCAGGTCTTCACCACCCCATTGTCTGTGTCCATAGGTAATGCATATATTCATATAAGATCTTTGTTTAATCTCTTCCCACCTCCCCAACCCCCCTTTCCCTCTGAGAATCATAAGTCTGTTCCATTTCCATGCTTCTGATTTTATTTTATTCACCAGTTTATTCTGTTCACTAGATTTCTTATTCATTTATTTTGATTTTTAGATTCAGTTGTTGATAGGTATGTATTTATTGCCATTTTGTTATTCATATTTTTTATCTTTTTCTTCTTCCTCCTCTTCTTAAAGAATACCCTTTAATGTTTCATAGAATACTGGTTTGGTGGTGATGAACTCCTTTAGCTTTTTCTTATCTGTGAAGCTCTTTATCTGATCTTCAATTCTAAATTATAGCTTTGCTGGGTAATCTTGTTTGTCTCCAGCACTTGTCGTTTGTTGATTTGTTGGAGAACCTACATCTTTTTTTAATTATTTTTATCTTTATTGTTGATATTATTACAGATGTCCCTCTTTTTCCTCCCATTGCTCCCCTCCACCCAGTTCCCCCACTGCCCCAGGTCTTCACCACCCCATTGTCTGTGTCCATAGGTAATGCATATATTCATATAAGATCTTTGTTTAATCTCTTCCCACCTCCCCAACCCCCCTTTCCCTCTGAGAATCATAAGTCTGTTCCATTTCCATGCTTCTGATTTTATTTTATTCACCAGTTTATTCTGTTCACTAGATTTCTTATTCATTTATTTTGATTTTTAGATTCAGTTGTTGATAGGTATGTATTTATTGCCATTTTGTTATTCATATTTTTTATCTTTTTCTTCTTCCTCCTCTTCTTAAAGAATACCCTTTAATGTTTCATAGAATACTGGTTTGGTGGTGATGAACTCCTTTAGCTTTTTCTTATCTGTGAAGCTCTTTATCTGATCTTCAATTCTAAATTATAGCTTTGCTGGGTAATCTTGTTTGTAGTCTTTGCTATTCATCACTTTGAATATTTCTTGCCACTCCCTTCTGGCCTTCATAGTTTCTGTTGAGAAATCAGCTGACAGTCAGATAAGCATTCCATTGTAGGTAACTAACTGCTTTACTCTTGCTGCTTTTAAGATTCTCTCTTTGTCTTTAGCCCTTCGCATTTTAATTATGATGTATCTTGGTGTAGGTCTCTTTAGGTTCTTCTTGTTTGGGACTCTCTGTACTTCCTGAACTTGTAAGTCTATTCTTCCTTTTTTTTCATTTTGCTCTTCTGCTTGGCTGTTTTTTGCTTCCTCATATTTCAAATCATTGATTTGATTCTCAGAATCCTCTACTCTTCTGTTGAATCCCTGTATATTATACTTTATTTCCGTCAGTGGATGTTTAATTTATGACTGGTCCTTTTCCATTTTTTTTTTTTTTTGGAGGTTTCTAGAAGATTCTTGAGTAACCTTATAACCATTGTTTTGAACTCTACATCTAGTACTTTGCTTTCTTCCATTTCTTTCATTTGTGACATGTTTCTTTGTCTCCAGATTTTAGCTACTTCCCTGTGTTTTTTTCTATGTATTGGATAGAGCTGCTGTGTCTCCTTGCGTTGGTAGAGTGGCCTTGTGTAGTAGATGTTCTGTGGTTCAGCCTTCTCAGTCAACTGAGCTGGGAGCTCTAGGTGCACCTCTTTGTGGGCTGTGAGCCCACAAAGTCTTGTTGTAGTTGAGACTTAATTGCTGTTGGTGTCACTCCAGGACAATTGGCTGTGATGGAAGCTCTAGGTGCACCTCTTTGTGGGCTGTGAGCCCACAAAGTCTTGTTGTAGTTGAGACTTAATTGCTGTTGGTGTCACTCCAGGACAATTGGCTGTGATGGACAGCTGTGACTACAGTGGGAGAACTGCTGTGCAGGAGACACCCTTATGGAGCAGGATTTGCTTCAGTGGGGCTTTGGTGTTCACTTAGTCTGCCCCTTGTGTGTGTTGTTTATGGATGTGTAGAGTTGTAATTTGGTATGGTCTGACACTGCCCACTGGGTGCACTGACTCTTGGGTCTCCAGGGAAGTGCAAAGTCAGCCACTGCCTGGGGCAACCCAGGAGGAGCTACAGAGAGATCTGCAGATTCCTCCTCTTTGAATCAGGTTTGGAAGTACCCAGATGAGGTCCAACTATGAAGCAAGGCAGGCTGGTGCTGGTGCCCAGTATTGGGCTTTGTATTGATAGGTTTGGGGCTCCCTGACCCATTTGCAGCTTGTTTGAGAGATTTTAGACTGAGCAAGGACATATGCAACAGCCACTGCGCCCAGCTTGGGATGGGTTGTAAATTGGATGAGGTAGGATCTTAGGGAATCACCAGGGCATAGCAAACAGAAATGGCTTCCAGTCAGCCCTGTGACTGGTGAGGTCCCAGCATAGAAACAATGATCCCTGTGAGCACCTCTGTCTGGGAGAAAGCTGACCCTGAATCCCTACCCTGATGTTGGACAATCAGTTCCTCCTCATATGTGATTGTGTTCCCCCGAGCCTCACCCTGGTGCTGGAGCAGAAAAGAAAGCAGGACCTTGCAAGCTTAGTTCATACTGCCAGCCTTTTAAGAGGAACAGATGGGTCTCCAGCAGCCTCTGTGTCACTGAGCCACAATCCACACTGGTTTATACAGCCTGTAGTTCTTACTGCCTGTAAGGACTTCTTTTACCAGTTTTGGAAGGAACCCTGGGCTGGGGGTGTGCTCTGGGGCTGGGACCCATTGCCCCTCCAGGCGGCCTCTGCAGAGACAATTTCCCTCCCAATTAAAAAAGTGGCCCACATGGGTGCTGGACCAGCCCATTCCACACCTCCGCACCTCCTACCAGTCTCAGTGTGCTTTCTTCTTTACCTCTCTAGTTGTAGGACTTCCATTCAGCAAGCTTTCCAAAAGTTTTGGATGATGGTTGTTCTGTATTTTAGTTGTAATTTTGATGTGGTTGTGGGAGGCAGTGAGTATAGGCATTTACCTACGCCACCATCTTCAAATCCAAGAAACTACATCTTATCCCCTGAATCTCAGCCTATCAAAACCCAAGGGGAAGGATGGTGCTCGGATTCAGATTCTGTCGGTCTGGGTAGGGCTGGAGGCCTGCACTCTGTAAGAGATTCCCAGGCAGTTGTGCAGGTCTCCAGGGTGTAGGGCCCAGGCCAGCATGCCTCCACTAGCCTTCAGAAATCAGCCAAGGCCCATAAGCTGGCAGCAGCTACCTCATCTATCAGGTGTGACACCCCTCTAAAGACCGTAAGACAAAGACAGGAGACCCCGAAGGAAATACTTCCATCTCCTCATCAAAATCAACAACAGTGGATAGCCAAGCCATTGTGCTGACACAAGACCTTTTCTGGGACCCCAGGAAAAACTCAACCTCACAAGGGAATGAGCCCAATGTCCCATCTGGGGGACAGCAGTGACTAATGGCTCAATTTCTCTCCCCCAGAATAGCCTTGCTTCCAGGCCTCAGGCACCAGTCTCGGAGCCATTTCTGGATTCAGGGACCCCTAACTTCCATCTCCCATCTCTCTCTGTGGGCCTTGCTGTTTCTAGTCTTGAAGTTTTTTTCTGAAACTGCTAATCACTTCACCATTCATGGTTCTCAAGAGGGGAGATACACTGGCAGCTTCCACTTCTAATGCTGAGCTCCTTGTCACTGGAGAAAAGGGAGGCTGCCCCACATTGAAAGCTGCTCATTAGGTTCGGAGTGGGCCTCGTGAACCTCTGCAAAAGACCTCCACTCTTACCCACCCTGGCCTGGCCCCTCTGTCCACCCAAAGGCAGCCCCTGCCTTTCCCTCTTTGCTCTCCAGCTGCCCCCACAGCCGAGCACACACCCCCATAGTATCACTGTCATTTTTCTTGTCCTTCCATTGTGGTGCTGAAGGAGCAGGCCAATAAGGAAAGGGAAGAGGTCTCCTCAGCAGGTCCTGGCCCCTCTGCACACAGGCCTGGTGGGCCTCTCGTCTCCCCCCAGCAGCCCTTCCTCACTCAGCTGTCTGCAGTTGCCCAACATTTCTGTCCTGCCTCCCCTGAGGGCAAATGCATGTTATCTGAGTCATGCTCTAGTTTGGCTTAAACCAAAGCGAAGCAGCAGCATTTCAGGCCTCAGAGACTTGGATGAGAGAGGAACTATCTCTGTGTATCCTCCACACACACCCAACCCCCAAAATGTCATTGCACAGGGCAGAATGGGCTCCCCGTCCCAAGCTGCTTCCCTCCCTAGGGGCAGCAGCACCAAAGGAAAATTCGATCCTGTGAGGAAAGGTCCCTGAGAGAATTCATCGTTAGAACTGCAGTCCCTTTGTCACAGGGAGATCGATTTTGTGGCAAAGACCCGCCGAGTCATTTGGGAACACAAAGCTGCTCAACCGCGGCCATCCAAGCCTAATCATTGCTAGAAATGGCCACAGCTGCTCCCCAGGTCCCAGCCCCACCCCTCACCCTCAGTGTGTGCTGAGCTCCTCCATTGCACCCCAGGTGCTGGAAGGGATTTAGAGCTCAGCTGTTTAAGGACTGAATATTTCTTTGGTTGTTTTTTATTTCCATCTCCTCAGGAAAGGTGATGGCATAGTTGTAGTTTGCCGGTGTTTGGATACTAAACCCCAGCATCGCCCACAACCTCCAGGCCCTGGACTTGAGGAATCTCAGACCGGACCTCCTGCCAAGCTTCAGGGTCCCCCACAACAAGGGGCCCGGACCTGCCTGAACTCAGGGTTCCTGGTGGGTGGGTCTACACACTCCACAGCTTGGGGTCTTCACACCCCCTGAGGAGGAACCTCCAGATTTAGATAACTGGGGATTCTAGACCCGTTTTCCTGAGGAAGCCTCAGCCCAGAGCTGGGTGCCCAGGGCAGGGGCAGACCTCTGACCCCTGGGAAGACCTTGTGAGAGAACTGTGATAGGGGCCATCACAGGGTAGAGCTAGCAGGATCTGCTCCCCATGGGGTGGAAGAAAAGTCCCTCTCTGCCCTTTTCTCCATCGATGGTAATAAGGATATTCTAATGATGACCGAGTCATTGCTATGTCCAGGCACTTAATCCTCACAGCAACCCTCTGAGTGAAGTAGTAGTATCATCTGCAGTTGAAATTGAGGCATTGGGAGTAACTGGCCCTAGTGGCAGATCTAGGCTTTGAACTTGGAGATTCTGACTCCAGAGCCCAGATTTTTAACTCCTCACATGCAAACAGCCTCTTGTCTACGTAAAGAAATGAGGTAGGCCAGACCGGGCCCGAAGGTGAGAGACTTAGGACTTTTGCACTTTGTTTGCTGGGAAATGGGAAACAACAGGAGAATCTTAGATTGGGAGTGACAAGGAGTTCTCCTGTTGGAGGTGAACAAGGCTGCCTTTAGCCGGCCTCCTTCTCTGAGCTGACCTGTGAGGCCACCAGACAGCCCGGAGGAAACCTGGCAGGCGTCTGAGTGACCCTGGCTGCCCCACACGCACCTCCTCTGCTTCCCCGGCTCTCAGATCCGGAAGGGGGATATGGTTGGCTTCAGATGCCAAGAAAGGATGGTTCATAGACATGAGGGCCTGGGCTGGTGAGGGAGAAGCGCATGCACCCTCACTCATCCAACACCTATTTACGTGGGTCCCAGGCACGGTGCTGGGGCAGGAACTCATTGGGGAACCAAACGGACGTGGACCTTGCCCTGCAGGACCACGTTTTACATTTACATTTTAGTAAAGAAAACACAGACGGCAGACAAGTGCAGGTGTTCTCATTATTCAGGATGGCTCTGTTCTATGAAGTCTTCATGAACACTGAGTAGTGAGCACTGGACTCATTGCTTGTGGGGGAGTGTGTGTGTGTTTCACGTAGACAGAATCACAAACACGGGAAGAGCAGTGACACATCTGAGTCCTCTGATGCGCACGTTCCCCGCGGAGGCTGTGTGAGGTGCTGCCTCCCGGAGGACGGAGACAGGAGGCAGGGCTCGGTGGCTCAGAAGCCCCAGCTCTGGGGCCAGGTGGACTCCACCAGGATGGGTTGCTTTGAGGATTGAAGATTACCTTCACGAGAGATAGATACACAGTTCTCCTGGAACAACGGGCTCAGTATTCACTAAGTGTTCAAGGCGACTTTACAGAACCTAACACATACACAAATAACAAGAACCAACTATACGTATTAGTACATTATATGGAGGAAACCAGCAAGGAGCGAAGATGGAGAGTGACATAGGGAGCCAGAGGGGCTGGTCAGGAAGGGCCTCTGAGAAAATGATGCTTACGCAGGAGCCAGCTGTGCCAAGCAGGGTGGGAGTGCGGTTCCACGCAGAGGAAACAGCATGGCAAAGCCCTGAGGAGAAAAAGAGCACGTAGCCGCTGGGATGAAAGAAGCGCGTGGGAGTGGGGGGCCCAGGCACAAGACAAGGCTAGAGTCTGCACGGGAGGCTGAAGGGCTGCACCTCGTCTTGGACTTGCCTTCCTGGTTGGAACTTCTCCCACCCGCCAAGACCCATGGAAGCCTGTGGGCTGTTTGTGGGCAAAGGTTGAAGCAAGAAAGGGGGAGAGAGAGGGAGGGGGCAGGCCTGCATCGCCTCTGGCCCCATGGCCAAGTGCCCAGCTGCCTGAAGGGACTTCTCAATCTAGGTTGAGCCTGAGCCAAAACCTGGGCTACTACTTTGACAAAGACAAATCCCAGAAGGCCTGGAACTGGTGGAACCTGACCCTGCACGTCCACGCGCCCCCGGTCCGGTCTATCTCCTTAAGCATCAACCAGTATATCAAGGTACAAGTCAAGAGCCAAAATGAGATCATCTTCCGCTTCGTCCACCAAACAAACCGCATTTCCTTAAACCTGGGCACCAAGTACAAGGTAAGGTCTCAACTCCCCACACCTCTGCCCACCTGCACGCAGGCCACGGCTGGCTCTTACTGGTCGTGCCATGGGCCCCGGGCCATGTTCTGCATGACTCCAACCCATAGAAAAACAAGGCCACGATATCAACATGCCTCATTTGGCCTGACACTCACTACAACCCTGTCATCTGGCAGGGCCAGAAACAAAGGGGAAATGTGTGTCCCCAGCCCTACTCTCCTCCTCACACATGCTCATTTCCAAAGAAATGACTGCCTGGAAGTTCAAGGCCTCTGCCCAGTCCAGGCAGGAAGTCCCAAAGGAGAGTTAGTTTCCTCGGCTGTTATAACAAATGACCACAAGCTGCGGGATTCAAATCAACAGAAGTTTATTTTCTCACAGTTCTGGAGCCTAGAAGGTTAAAATCGAGGTGTCAGCTACCTCCAAAGGCTCTAAGGGAGAATCCTTCCTTGTCTCTCCCAGCTTTTTGCTCCCCGGAATTCCTTGGCCTGTGGCAGCCTCCCTCCAGTCTCTGCGTCTGTCTTCATGTGGCCGCTCCTCCATGTCTCTCTGCACATCAACCTCCCTCTCCTTTCTCTTATAGGGACACCAGGAGTTAGGGCCCACCCCAAGTCCTCATCCACGGTCCTTAACTTGATTACATCGGCAAAGATCCTATTTCCAAATACGGTTACATTCACAGGTTACTGGCCATGTCTTTTGGGGGCCACTGCTCTGCCCACTACAAGGGGAGCGTCTGGACCCTAGCGTTCTCACTGTGACAGGGCAAGAGGCGGGCTATTGAGACCCTTCCTGACCACCAGAGTGAAGGCGGGGAACTGGGCAAACTCAGAGGCCTGGAGCTGCTGGGATCTGAACCTCTACGTCTGCACGGCCCCTGCCCAGTCTATCTCCTTAACTGCCCCCTGAGACACACACAAGATCCTGTTCCTGCTCCAGCTCTGCACCCCTCCCTCACCCCCCCCCCCTCCACAGAGGGCTGTTTACAGACCCACCAGAGAGGCATTCCAGGCCGCTGACAGCATGACTGCCTGGGGAGACAGATGGGCATGTCTTGTGGGAAGTGGGCCAGGCGGAGAAGCAGGCTGATGGAAGGGAAGAAGCAGACTCAAGCACAATTAAGCTGTATGACTACTATTTGAAAGGAGAGGAGAGAATGTGGCAGGTTAGGGTGACCACCACCCCAGTTTGCCCAGGACGGGGGCGTTTTCCAGGATAGGAGACTTTGAGAGCTAAAGCTGGGACCATTCATGCAGATCCAGACAGCTGGTCACCCTGGTCCCCTTGCCTAGGAAGGCTGCTGGTTTACAAGCTAAAGAATGAAGTCCCAACCTTCTCACCTACCTGGGCCCCCTAGAGCAGCCACCTCAGTAAAGAGATGATGCATACTTACAGTCTCCCCGAGTTTTCCCTTTGCCCCTGTACATGGAGATGAGCTAGGAGGGAGCAGCTAGAATGGAGAGGGCATGAGGACCTGGGGTTCCACTGAGGGAGGGTCAGCAAAGGAAACCAATGCCCCAAAGGGCAGGTGAATGGCTGACATGGTCAGAGTCCTGTGCCAGTGGAAGGGGGCAGCGGGCCAAAGCAAATGGATCAGCACAGATGTCCTCCCAGGACAGGCAGCGGGGCGTCCTGAGAACACGCCAGACTCTCCGCTTCCCGTGTGACACAGGCAGGCCTCTTGCTCCTTCTGAGACTGCTGTCGTTTATAAAGTGACAGTGACGTTGTACAGCTTCAATAAGACGCTTTGTGTGAAAACATTTCATAAGTTGGATACTTCATAGAAATAGAACATCTTGGTTTTCTTCAGCATTCTTCTGGGAGGCCCTTTGCTCGGCCTTCTGTAGCTACAAACCAAGGCCGAATTGCAGTAGAGGTGGCCTCCCTGGGCAGTCCTCATCCCAGCAAAACCCAGACACACCCTGGCGAGCCCGCAGTGGGAGTGCGGCCCGTGGCAGACACTTCGGACAGCCTCCCAACTGATGTCCCCAGGGGGGCACAGCCTTTGGATGGCAACCCACACCAGGTCTCAGGAGCTGGCACCCTTTGGCTTGGGTTCAGGCTGGGGGGTGGCCACGGGCACAGGCCCAGCCGTGTCCTCGGGAAGCAGCAGAAAGGTTGCTGGTGGCTGGGCTGGGAGTGGAGATTTGCCCTGGAGAGTGGCGTTTCCGGGGAAGACTCGGTCCTGGCCACAGGGGTCTGATCCTGGGGGGGTTCGGGGGGGGCGGTCTGGGGCAGCATATATCCTCACCTAGCCTTCCGTGAATTCCCACAGTTCATCAACCCGGAGAGGCTGAGAGAAATGAAGGTGAAAGCAATCCTGGAGGTGGACTTTGGTTCAACAGCTCGGAAGATGCAGGTCCTTCTGGGCAAAATGAGTAAGATCCTGCATTTCCTGACCATGTGTGATTTGGAAAACTTCATAGAGAGCGCCACGAACTTGCTGCTGGACAGCAGTCGGAAAAGGAAGAAGTTTTAGGTCCAGATGAGCGCCATCGCCGCACTGCCCCGGGCTTGCCAGCACCTGCTGGACGTCTCTGGAAGGTTATGGTCAGGAGCACCAAGGAAAACCCCAAAGTCTCGTTTTTGTCTCTTGAGAGTTGTTTTGTAATGTGGGGCCTGTCACGGTAGCTTGGTTTGACAGGAAAAGCCTTTGGGGTTCTGACAGACTCCGTGGCGGGGGACAGAAAGGACCCAGGAGCCGGCCCTGGCTCGACAGCATTAGAGGCAGGCTGTCTCAGGGGCAGGACAGTCCACAGCTGTCCTGCTTGCTCCCACTGGTCACTGCGACCTTCCTGCACCTGGTTGACTCAGGACATAGACCGTCTCGAAGGCTAGCTCTGCCAAGTGTTGGCTGTGTGGCAAGTAGCTTTACGCCTCAGTTTCTTCGTCTATGAAATGGGTCTAGAAATAGTAGCTCTCACTAACCCTGAACTCATCTCAAACACCTCCTCTCCCATCCCCACCAGGGCAGAGGGAAACCCAGACAGCAAACCACAGCCGCCTGCAGGGGGTCCCCCAAACCAGGAGCCAACTAAGCCCAAAAGGACCCAGACTAACCCCCCCTCCAATAGCTGGGGCCCTTCTGGTCACTGGTAATAGCTACCAACTGGAGTAGGTAAAGCAAAACAGGAAGCGAATGATCTGGATGGGAGATGCAACGGCTCTCAGAAAGGACAGAAGCATGGAAGGCCGCTAGAAGCCAGGAGGACGTCCATCCTCGTCTCTGCGACACTCATCTTGCTCTGAAGACATTTGCTATGCACCTCAGTTCACGTGACTTTGTTTCCTGATCTCTCGCACAACACCCAGTGGTCTCGGATTGGCTGGCTTATCTGGTGCAATCCAGGGTGATAAGGGGGGGCGGGTTATGTCTTGTAAACATGGTTCCTAGTTGATGCCTGAGCATGGGAAGGGGTGGGAGTTGCTAGAACAGGGGACTCAGGAGCTGGGCGGTGTGCCTTTTAAATCCCTGGGACACGGCAAATTTCCCAGGGTGATCTCAACTGCCGCCTAAACCAAGACGAAACCCCTTCTAGCACTTAGCCCTTCCCTGCCAGGAGCCGGGTGCCCGCCTCCTGCTCTCACACTGCCTGCCTCCACCTCTAGCCACCACCCCAGGCGTGAAGCTGCGCAGCTGGGCTGGGACTAGGGTACTGAGGCCAGTGGGGAGTCACAGCCACTTCCACTGTTCGACTCAGACTTGTTGGTGAACAGTATCATCAGCTAAAACTACAGTTACCACCATACCTGGCATGGATGCACTGTAGACGTGGAGCTTTGCAGGCCACCCCCAACATGCCCGTGGGCCTTGTTGGTTGGGCACCTCCACTCAGGAGGCGGAGAAGCCCCTTTCCTCACGGGCACTAGAGACAAAGCTCCTGAGTCGCACTTGGCAATGAGCAGGTCCTTCCAAGCTTGCAGCCGTTACTCCCAGATGTTTCTCCCGGGACTGAAGGCCTCGGACCTGAAGGCGGGTGCGCCCTGGAGTCAGACAGGCCTGGTTGGCCATCTTGGCAGCACCGTTTGCCAGCTGTGGGGCCTGGGGCAAGGCAGTGAGGCCCGCTAGACTCCGTTCCTCACCTGAAGTAGGAAGAGTTACAGTGAAGACGAAAGGAGGTGGCGTCGGTAAGGCACTGTGGTGCTCAGTAGGTGCGGCTCTTACTGTTTTCAGCCACTTCCTCTCCTCAGTCTTCCTCCTCCACCAAACCTGAACACAGGCTTCCGTTAGTGCAGAGGCTGTCCGCAGGCAGCCTTGCAGAGGCATTTTGTCTCGTCAGTCCCGTTTTAAACTATGTTGTTGCCAGCATTTAATAGATGGGAGGTTTCCAGCCGCTCCTGTAACGCCTGCTCTGGGCAGAATACTGAACTCTGAGTTATTTCCACCAGGAAAAGCGAATCACCTCACAGACTGGGCAGTAAATACTGACAGCAGCCAACCAGCTGGCCAGGCCTGTAAAAGCCCGGATCCCACCCGTCAGTCTCCTCGGGCTGCTGGAGCCAAGGGCCACACACTGAGCAGCTGGAACCATGGAGACTGATGGTCTCGGCTCTGGAAGCTGGAAGCCCACAGTGCAGGGCTTCCCTGAGCAGGTGCTGGGGAGGGTGTGTAGCCGGGCCTTTCTCCAGCTTCGGGTAGCTCCTTGGCTTGTGGCAGCATCACTCCAGTCTTCACAGGGAGTTCTCCCATGTGTCTGGGTCAAATTTCCCCCTTTAATGTGGACACCACTCATAATGGCTCAGGGGCCACCCTACTGCAGTCCGGATCCCACCCCGTGTCCGTGTGCTCCAGTGCGCCTCACCTCACCAGTAATTACCTCTGCAACAGCCCTGTTTCCAAATCAGGGCTGTGGTACTGGGCATCAGGACTTCAACACATGAATGTGGGGGACACAGTTCAACCCTAACACATGTCTGCCTCACACCCCAGCCCCGCTCAGGCCCTGCACTTCCTGAGGGGACGAGCCCTCTTGCTCATTATCATTTCTTCTTCAGTGACTTGGCAGGAAACGGTGCTTCTCCTACAAACAAAAATGGACTCAGTTGGGCTGTTTATCAATACAGTGGGGACTTGACTTATGAGTGTCCTGACTAACAAGTTTTTCGAGACACGAGCCGTCTCTCAGCCGATTTTTTGCTTTGAGTTGCGAGCTAAAATTCGGGTTATGAGCCAGCTTCAGATACCCCACTGCTATTTGGCACAGCGAACGTCACAGTGAACGCCACAACATCAGCCCAGCATCACGTGTCTCACTCGTTCACTTTTTGATTTGACATACAAGTAATTTGAGTTACGAGCTCCATCATGGAACGAATTAAACTCGTAAGTCAAGGCCCCACTGTACTAACTGTTCAGTGACACACAAGGGTTTCCTGATGGGTATCCACATCAGTGAATGCCCCAAAGCACATGGAGTCTCGTCCAGTGCCTACAGAAATTACTAATTAATTCGGTAATAATTACACCATGTAATAGGCATGCACTGGGCGCCTACCCTGTGCCGAAGGTCCAAAGAGAACAGGTTGTCTGCCCTCGAGGATTACAGAGTGGGGATCAGACACACAAGCAACAGCAAAAGGATGAAGGTATTGCTTTGTGAAGGAGCACAGTGGGAGCAAAGGGGTCACCCGGGGAGGTGGGAGAGGTCGCAGGAAGCCTCTCTGAGCCAGGGCTGAAGAAGGACCAGGAGCGGGTGGGGCGCGCTGGGAGTCTCCAGGAGCAGCAAGCCTCTGTGCAGAGACAGAGAGCATGTAGGGCAGAAAAAAGGCACCAGATAGGGAGCCTGTTGGAGAGTATCTTGCTACACAACCCCCAGCCCCTTCCTTTATGGGGAAAACACTCTTCTGAGTATTTATTTGTGGGCAGCCATGCCCTGCTTGCCAGGAAGAAACTAAAAAAGGTCGTATCAGTCAGGGGCCAGTGAGGACCCAGTAATTCCAGCAGGGAAAATGTAACAAAGCCTAGCACGCTAATACTAAAAGGGACCTGAAAGAGAACTCTAGAAGCCCAAGAACAGCAAATGAAAGGCAGTGTTTTCCCTCCCTCCCTCTCTCCCCATCTCCTTTCTTTAGAATGCACCCAAGAAGGGAACTAAGAACTTAAGGGGAGGATGTGACTGCAGCCCTGGCTGGTGGGGAGGTTCGGGCCAGGGAGCTGGAGCTGGTGCACAGGGTGTGGCCTCCAGGTTGCGGAAGCTGCTTCACAAAAAGCTTTCTGCAGGGTGCCAGGAAAGCTCGAGGGAGAGGGGGTGCGCCAGACCTCCCATGCAGTGCTGACAGCCCAAACAGAAGGGAACGGACAAACAGAGCCCCGCCCAGGCCTCGCGTGCACCTCCAGCACCAGCAAAGCCTAACATTGCACCAGCTGGCAGCGGAGGCATGTTCTCAGGGCCGGCTCAGAGTCTCAAAGCTGGGCAAAAAGGGTGGATTTAGAGCTGATAGGAATAAACCAGTAACTAGCACAGAGGTCGTCTTCTCTATGCTCCAACACTGTATTGAAGTATGGACTATCACACACACACACACACACACACACACACACACACGCACATGGGTGCTTCATGGGGAGTGATCTTGGCCAAGATGAAAGCAGTTGAGTGATGCCCACCCAATCCAGGACTCACACGGAAGTGGAGACCTGACCAACTCTTTCTGCTTTGAAAAAAGAAATGTATCTGTGATGCTCCCTGTTCTTATCCCTTTGCTCCTGCAGCACCAGTCTGTCCCTAAGCCCACTTCCTTCC